ATACGGCATAAGCGTGGGAAACATCATACCTAACAAACCCTCTCATTTCAGCTTGCGTGCCACTGAATACTGTTATAGGAGATTAATTTTTCAATACATTGATTGGCACAGAGTTCAAGTATACGAAGGTTACAGTGATGTTAAGAGTTCAAATTCGTGAATGCGCCTAGTAGGAGTTCAATCAAGCGTGATTCTCGGATATTCCTTCATATTTGGCTTTTTATGCTGAGTGTAAATTCAGAATTGATTTCTATTGAAAAGAGATTTCAATTTTCCCGTACAATGTATGTTGTACAGTTCACACATGCAATAAATTTTTTTGAAAATAAATTCTATTTGCAGCAGTTAAACTTTAATAATGTGATAAGTATTATATAAAACGAACGCATATTTTAAAATATATGCCCGAGACAAAAAAAATACAATATCTCGTTGTTATAAAGAAGATCGGAAAAAAAGCAATTACATTGTCACACCATTAGTAGCCCCAAGAAACCCAGAAAATCAACAAGTCAAAATATGAAGCACACGCATACATTATCCAAAATGCAGTTTAAAAAACTCCCCCCAATAACAAAAAAGAAGCTTCCTCATCACCGAAGCGATATAGATAGAGTACATACAATAAATAGGGGGGTCAGTGGGTCCCACGCGTGTGCACGCGCGCGAGGGGTTGTGGCGTGTGTTGAGACGACGTCGTGCGTCACACTCACAACACAAGTTGCCCTGTGGGAAACTTGGAACTTTCACACAGTCGCGTACAGCCATGAGAACTGTAATAATAAACGTGCTAGAAGGGAGTTTCCCTTCGCGCGCTTTTGTCTCAATTGTAAGCCTTTGATGTTTGCTCTACAACACCCTTGAACAGACAGAGTTACGAAAGAGAGGAAATGAAAGAGACGCGCGCGTGAGCTAATTTAGGCGTCTGCTTTGACACACTTCATCTATGGTGTGAAAAAGAAGAGGTTCACTTCTCTGGACAGTGTCGAGTCGAGTGAAACGTGCTGCATATCAGGATCTTGAGATAGTTGTCAAATTTATGCTCAATCGAGTGCATCTCGACAACATTTTACTTTTTCTTATTCTATAATTCCATTTTTAAATACAAACAATCCACTCATACTTCAGATTATTAATTATTCTTATTGTTCTTTACCTTCCTCTTAGTTTTTAATTTTTTTGCAAGTGTACATATCAGTGATGAAGCTCTATATCTAACTAAAATATCCATTAAATTAACTGTCTTTAATTTTTCCTCTCTTGATCTCTTGCTCCGGGTTTTGAAAATTGTTATACGTAGATGGCAAAAGAAATAACGAGAGGTATAACTTAGTTTGTCGCTGAAAATTTTAATTCATTATTTATTTTTTTAATACATTAAATTGCAATGGGTCAAATGATGTGTAATTTTGCATGATATATAGCCGCTTAAGTTGTCAATCATTTTCGTCAGATAACCTCGAGCTAGCTTTGTTTTAGGATTGTGAGTAATAATCAATTCGCCTATCGAAAAAATTTACATGAGATTTGCGTACGCGGTTCAGCGAATATATAATAAGCTCGATGATTGATTGAACGAGTAAAGCAGAAACGTATAAATAATGGCAATTTCAGGAAGGTTATGTGACCAATTTAAAAAAAAAAAATTTAGGTAAGTCCATTCAAAGCAATACCTTAGAAGTGGTCTGATAAGCCACAGCACTGGGACAATCAATAAACTTCTTGTCCATTGCAGCAGCGCGTGAGTCGTCATTATCCACACCTCTAGGTGCAACCTGTTTGTTGCTCATATATCCATCCATAAATACATAAATGCTTTTCCCTTTTACACGCAGCTCAATGGCAAAAACAACTTAACCGGCTCGCGGCTTCGATTCAAAGAGGGGAGCAGCGTGAAAAAGCTGCCTGCCTGCTGCCACCCAAGAAAACACACGTGTTCGCGTCTCCAGGACGACGAGCATCGAATTGCGAATGAGGTTCTCTCGCTCGTGCATCGAAAAGGGAAAGCGTCGTGGATGAGACCGGTTGGTTTCTTTTTGCCAATGATTTTCCAAGAACGCGCCGCGTCGCGAATAAACCTTATACGGCGATTGGTGTCGTCAAAAAGACCCTTGCACCGGTGAGAGATAATTGGTCAAGTTTTTGTTTTTCGAGAGAGTCCCTTAGAGACTCGATGAAGGAGTTTTCAAAAAGTCGCTGCGTGGTTATATTTATATGCCTGTAGTTACCTACCCCGTCAAGGCAATTAGCGGAGTATATTGAGAATTATGACGTTGGCAGAGATGTAAGTGATTCCTTTTTGTGTGGATTTTAATAGAGATCGCTGATTTCTTATTTATGGCACGACATCGATACACCTCTTTTCTCAATAAGCGATTCATTGTGGAATAAAAATCTTGACTTTTATACTTCATCACTCCTGGATTGATCCTCGATCAATTCTACCATCAATGCTTATAATTTATTGCAAAGAATTGTTTAGATGTAGGTATATATATAATTACTATAGCAGCAAGTTAGAATTCGTAAAGTTGCAATTGAATAGAAATAAAACGTCTCATTGTTCAATTTTATAATGTTGATGTACGTGTACACTATTGAACAACAATTTTACACTCACAAATTGTACGCGAATGATTAAGTAACCGATATCGTATAAAACACCATACGCAATCTCGATAACCAACAGATGGAAAATTTGCACGTTTTTCAGTGAATAAAACACTTGAGCGCATATATATATATATATGTATGTATGTATAAAAACGCCAAAAATGTCAGACGAAAGTTATATACAGCCCCGTCAGTGTGAAATAATGGAGGCTACCAGAAAGAAGGCGAAGGGCGTTTAATTGAAAGGAAACATGCGCATATCTAAAAAGGTGCTTTCTTTCTCTTATGTGTACCGTGTGTGCAGTTTTTGTGGTTTTTTTACTGAAACACGCCCTCGGCGACAAAAATCGGCATCGGGTTATTAGGATCGTGCGTGCACGCAGAGCAGTGAGAGAAGGAAAGAAAAACAAGCAAGACATTTTCGGGGCCGCCGTCGAATCGATAAATCAGTCGCGTGTCCGATCGTAAGAAAAGACCTTCTTCTCCTCTCCCTCGCACACGAAAGATTCATTATACATAAATAAATCGACAGTGTGTGCTCCGATAAATTTTGATTTTCTTCATTTTGTAGAAAATTGAATTTTATCATTATCTTATAAAATTACTCAAGCACATTGAAGTAATGCGTTTTCTTGTTTGCTTGGGTGCATTTAGGTGCATTTAGGTGTATAGTTTATTTGAGAGATACATATCAAGCAAGCCATTACATATACCAGTGCGGCAAAAGTAAATCAATCGAATAATGCATCTGTCATCGTATATCAGATGGAGTGGTTGTGCGGTATTCGAAAAATTTGCGGTTTCTCGCAAAAATCCAGCGGAGTAAGGCGAATATTAATGTCGCGGTATGTAATCGCATTGTCAGAGCACACCCCGCAATATAAGAAAGTACCGAAAACTTTTATTTTTTTTTACATTCATCTTTTCTCTCCGCCCCCTCTCTTGCTCTCTTTCTTTTGTTATATAGGTTATCAAAATGTTTTGCCGCAGGCTTCTCCTTTGACGCTCGCGCGAGCCTCGCAAATTATTGTTCTTTACCGGGAGTCGTTTTCGACGCCGCGTCGAAATCAAAATTCGCCTCGTGCACACCCCTGGCTGCTTCGTTTAAAAACCAGTCGACTTTTAGATTCTTCATATATTTCTTTCGCTGGTAATGTCGTGTCAAACTAACTCATGCTAATTTTTCAAGCGGCTTTCTTTTGTGTTCGTTGGAATCGTTAGTGGAATATAAATTGCGAATTGAAGGCTTGGTTTTTGCAATTTTTTTAGCAGTTGATTTTGAAATAAACTTTAATGTTACGCACTGCGTTGATATTTGATATTCATAAGGCTGAATAGTTAAAAATATACTGTTCCAGATGTGTTGTATAAAATCTTCCAAATGATAGTGATACATTTGTTGCGAACTATATTAATTATCTTGTGCACGATGAATGAAACGATACTCTGAGCTTAAATAGCATTTATGAGTCGACTTTTATTTAAAATTTAATTCCGAAATTCGAGGTAGTCTGCACACATAAAAAAACTATGATCTCATTGGGATGGAGTCGAAATAACAAAGAATACTTATGAAAGTACGCGGTATAGAACAACAGCAAAGCAAAGAAAAAAACATGTTAAAATTATAAAAAGGGAGCATTTATTCGTACCGTTATACTCAAGGCTTTCTGCGGAGACTCATTATCTTTATCAATCTCTCTCTCTCTCTCTCTCTCTTTCTCGCGGTTGGAGTTGCTGCGAGTCCCCCCTTGTAGCTCGTGACCATCTTTGGCTTATAAAAGCTTCAAAGAGGAATAAAGAAGGCTCCACGCACGAGGAAGCAAAGGAGAGAAAGGCCTCTCGCCACGAAGAAGATGCTGCATAGCGACAGCAGGAAGAAAGATCGACGACAGTGTATATACTCTTGGGCCTTTGGAACGTGAACGCATTTTGCGAGAGCGACTTATCTTTCTCCCTTGTCGTTTTTCAATGGTCTTCGAGCTTTTGACTTTCCCTTATCTTATTTCTCTCTTTCTCTCTCCCTCTCTTTCTCTCGAGTGCAGCGTGCGCCAGTTTTCTTTCTTTCGCGAGCCAGAGCGAGACTCGAGCACATAATGTCTTTTAAGGATAACGATGTCGCTTGTGAGTGCGCGCCTTGAGATAAATGTACCAGGCCGGCTTTATAAATGGCTTGTTGGAATATTTTAATACACCAATGATTTTACCATTTTTACTGTGCAGACAAAGGTCAGTGCTTATATATACTATTTGCTGTAAGGGAATTTAATGGCTCATTCGTTTGATACGAAGCTATTTTTAGTCAAAGATTACATTTCAAATTATTGACGCATTCAATCAAAATCCAATAATTTGTAGGTTCAATGAATATATTGGATTAATCGTTTTCCATAAATGATTTTATTACATTTTTTTTAATTAGATGTATTACAACGAATCATTAATACTTCCATTTTTATTTAAAAAAGGAAAATTGTAAGAGACTTTTCATTCAAAGGAATGTAAAAATTAAAGATTTATTAATTAAAGATGACTGTATAATGACTTGTGCTTCACTAAGTCTCTTGTGACTTCGTGAACATTTCGACAACCTAAAAATATAAATATACCATGAATGTAGTTTCAACTACATGAAAATTCAATAGATTGACTTAGTGGCCTACCTGCTAAAGCAAACGTTTCCTCTATTTCGGCGTAAAGTAAATCTAGTACAGCGCGTGCTCCCTTTTCGCCGTCGCAAACTAAGCCCCATATTATGGGCCTTCCCACAAACACCTTAAAAAATAATCGTTTTACGAATCCATATTAGAAGCTGATAAAGCTACAACTACCTTTTACCATTTTAGCTCCAACAGCTAAAGCCTTGAATACGTCAGTTCCATGTCTAACTCCACCATCTACGTAAACTTCAACTTTGTTACCAACTGCTGCGACGATTTCGGGCAGGGCCTCAATCTGTGATAAATTGATTTGTATAATTTTATATTGTTAGATTTTCTAGTATAATATAAGCAATAATATCTTATAAATTACAGAAATCTCTTTATTTAGAGCAATATTATACCGATGAAATCGTCGATGTAAGCTGTCGGCCTCCATGATTAGAAACTAATATGGCACTGGCACCATGATTAACAGCTAATACTGCATCCTCGGCAGTTAAAACACCTTTTACAACAATTGGCAACTGTGTAATACTAACGTTACTTTATGATTAATTTGCAACTCAAAACTTAACGGCCAATTTATCATATTCAAACCTTTTCAACCATAATAAATCTTGCCAAGTTACAGAATCATCGATAATTGTTTTTACGCGGCTAAAAATATCACCTAAATCATTTTGCGAATTTTTTGATAAATAATAATCCTCGTAAATACAAAATCTGCAAAATATATTTATTTAATAATTATAAGTAACTATTTTTTAAATTTTTTAAAAAGAGGTTTGAATTTACCTTGCATCTTTAGTAATTTTGATTTTACTTGTTGATGATTTAGACAGTATAGGATAGTCAACCGAGACAACAATTGCTTTGAAACCTGCTATTTCTGCTGTCTGTACAATGTGTCTCGTGCAATCGCGATCTTTATGTATAGCTAATTGTTGCCACTTGATAGCGTTTGGAGCTGCCTTTGCAACTTCTTGAATAGTACAATTGGAGTATGAAGACAATATAAAAATTGTTCCAATACTTTCGGTAGCTGGAATATAATAATTTTCTTTCTTAGCATGCTAAAATTTATTAACAGAAGGCAGAAAAAAGTTATGCGGACAATGCACCTTTAGCACTGGCACGTTCTCCACACAAATGAGCCCATCTTTGATGTGCAGTTGGTGAAACACCCAGAGGCATTGATACTTTTTCTCCAAGGATTGTTGTACTGATATCTCTCTTGGATACATTTCTTAATACTTTAGGTCGTATTCTGAACCTTAGAAAAATGAGCAATGTAAACCGTATCTATTAAATCATTATTCATATTTCTATCAGTACTTACTTTTTAAATGAATCTATATTAAGTTTTGTAGTTTCTTCGGCTTTAGTACCACCCAAATAATAATTTTTTACGGTTGGCTCTAAAACACTTAATGCATGATTTTCAAAGTCTCGTACACTAATGAAGTTATCCATTTCGATACCACAACCAGTGTTGCCTGTGCGACTGCGTGTCTCGTACGATGAACATGTTTGTAAAGAGCTAGGCTATGGATACGCGCGATAACCTTTAATGAAATTTAAATGATGCGATAAGATTCAGATAAGTGTCGATGAATCAATGCTTTGAAATAATTGAATTGACTTCAATTATTCAAAATATTTTGAATTCAATTATTCGAAATTTTTTGAATTCAATTTTTTAAAAGCATTCGTTCATTCTCACTTATCTGAATAAAAACACGTCAACTACTGGACTACTTGAACATCTGTTTACACATTTTTCTACCTTCTCGAGATGTTCTGCGTGTTGACTTGCCCCCTTCAACTATACATCAAAAGTGCACTTAAAAGCGACTTTTTCTTTTCTTTATTCAGATCGACAGGGTAGTGGTTCTGCGGAATGTTTATTATACGTGGGGATCCCGGCGTTGAATGGAAATGTGCAGGCTCATTATAATCTTTGCTCGGTTATTCACCAAGAACGATTAGCATTTTCTGACGAGAATGCGGCATATTCCATTAGTGCAATGCAATCAATTCTTCTTTAAAAGCCGCAGTGACTCAACGCTTAAAAATAATATCAGTGAACGTAAAGTTATTTAATTTTCGCTGTTAAGTGCCCGAGGTTTCACACAAAGTTACAAATGAATTCCTATGTCACATTTAAGGATCGGGAAAATCACGAAAAACACAAAAGAAACGATAATTCATTAATTTTCAATACGTTGATTAAAATCCTTTCATTCAACTATTCGCATTGGTGCCATTTAGTCAGAGCCAACTTTAAACGGGCAGCCTCCTTAAGATTGCTCATGATGATTGATTATTAAGCGGAAGTCACCAACGGAATGCCTCTAACATGACGAGTCGCAAATAATCGTTTGGCCGCTGCAAAAAAATACAAACGGTTGTCGATCGCTGCAACGTTCGTCAGAAAAAGCGAAGATTGAATACGCGTGCGCTCCCTTTATCTCTCTCAAGCCCGTTACACACACCTGAAATTTATACATACCTTTATCGAGGTTGCGCGCTTCTTATACGCAGCCTTCGACGAACCGAAAGAAGAGGAATGACTTGTGCCGCGCGCTTGCGGGCTGCGCACGTGTATATATGGAGAATATACGTGAGATAAAAGTTAAGCACCTCTTGCGCGTGCGCGCGCGCAGATACCTGCGTATGCGTACGCATATAAACTATAAGACTTATACATATATACCACGTATGAAAATTGATGTTATGGATGGCCATTGTCAGGACGGAGAGAGCCGACTTTTACGGCATTCTGGAATGACCTGTTTCTGGCGCGTTTTTTTTTTTCATTTTGTACACGATTCACTCGGAATTCAATAGTCGAATTTTAACATACAGTGAAACAGGTTGCTCCTTCCCTCTCTCTTACCCAAGGCAATTCTTGACAATGCTCGGGCATTGTTGTATACCGACGACAGTTCGAGCATCGGTTTATATGCATTTTGGCGTTTTTCTACCCCCTTTCGGTATTTCAAATTCAGCTTACAGTTCTTTTTGAGTGACATCCAATCTTTTCTTTTTAGTTGGCGGAATACACATTTGAACATTCTCAAAGTTTGTCAAGCATAAAAGTCTCGTATTTCGCAAGTAGCTTCATATTTAAATCGTCGTCCTTAAAAATCCTAAAATGAAGTCATTCCGCGCATGCAAATATTCGCTGAAATTGAGACGGAAAGTCAACAGCGTTAAGTTTTTTTACCCTTTCATTATACTATCAGGCGAATCAAAAAAAATGCCAACGCGGAGCTGCAGTCTAAACTTACTCGTATCGTGTAATCGGTCGAGTGAAAAGGCAACTTTTTACCGGACAGAGATGTTATATTTGCACAGGCCTCACTCTGAAATTCGAGCTTCTTTCTTTCTCGATTTGAGCATTGGATAAATACCGCAGCTATAAGGCGCCGTGTTATGGCAACGAGGTAGAGAGAGAGAGAAAGGAAAAAACGAAGGACAGACAGACAAAAACCCTTTAGACCAATCTCCAACCTTCAAAGGAATTCCGAAGAAACCTTCAAAAAGTTTAAACTTTGAGCCTGACCTGGAGAAGCGGATTAACCCGCGGCAAATTAGGCGCCAATGTGCCACCACGGCGCTTATAGACATCCGGTCACACCACGGTGCGGTCGCTCTTTCTCGAAAAGTTGCTTGAGTTATTCTTTGAGAAACAAATGAGCCGGAACGCGGTTGTTTGTGTATTCTCGAAAAAATATTTTTCTTTCGTCTTTTCTACAAACGTAATTAAATCTTCTTTTGAACGTATCATTTATAATTTTAATATTTTGCAAATTTGAATTGCACGTCACGTTGTCTCCTCAATTCACAAATCCATTCTAGTAAATAAGAATCGATCCACTGTATAAGTTTATGACATGTAAAAATACAGCAAAACGTTGTAATTACGCTGAGGAAAATGAAATGTCGCGCAGGGACATATTGCATAAGGTCAACGCGTAATGAATCATCAATGAGGCGAAAGACGAACGTGCGAATACGAGTATTATCCCGAAAGCTTCGTACATTCGTTCCCAAGCATTGGCATATCCCAACGATTTCAATTAATCGATTAAAAGGCCAGGAGAGTGCAAAAAAAAACTCAGCCGGAAAAACATGTGCACGATCTTCCTTGCACGTTCACACGTCGGCTCACTTGTTTACAGAGACGCGCGAGCGGAGAAAAAACGCCCTGCTTACGCGGAGACAAAAAATTATGACGATTTGGAAGCTCGTTAATGTTCAACTGGCGTTTTATGAAAGGAGTTTTAGGTGTGCAGGAAGTTTGCACAGCGAATGTATATTCAGCATGTTGGCGGGATTGCTTTCGGCGTTATAAACTGGCTTTATTTTGTTTTCGGCGAAACGTTTAATCTCCATGAATCATTGGCAGTTGATTCAGCGTTTCGAAACTGAGCAAGGGTCTTAATACCATTTCACGCGGTATCTTTTCACAAAAGAAACGCATCAGACTAGAAGTGAAAGTGCTATGTCCAGCCATAATAATTGGTGCTTGTTTATACACGCGATATCTAAACGTTTTCATTTCTAATTACGTTACTTACACTCGAAGTCCAATCGAACGCGCAACCACTATAAAAGCTATACATCTACACTAATATAAATCCACCAAGTATGGAAATGACCGTGCGACGTCTAAAAAAATGACAATAAAAAGAAAACAAGAAAGAAACGTGCCCTAATTTACTTACTTTCTACAATCCAATTATAGAAAGTAAAAGATCGCTCGTCGGACTCCATACTACGCAATCACACCTCAGCGGCGAGGAGACAAAAAAAGGAAATGCTTGCACGCGCGCTAACGAAGGCAAATGTCCATTTCTCGCGAGTGTACGTGGCTTTTCAATCGCGTCGCAGCAACGCGGCAATTCATCAAAAAGCCGTGCAACACGAGCGTGCGCGTGAAGTCGTTCCAACCGGTCACCGTCGAGCTTCTATATGGCGAGAACGAGTTCGTTTTTCTCTGGTAAAGGGGGAAGTGAACTTTACGTTTGTGGCCTCTTCGGGCAATGGTTTTCATACAGATGCACTTGTCGACGCCGAACAGCTAGGTTGCTTAGTTTATGCTCATTAGGAGCACAGATAGCCGTTTAAATGCTGAGTGCACGCGATGAATGCGCAGCGTTTCTCGGGAAAATGCATTCGCTTGCTCGGGGACGTTGCTAACTGATTAACGGAAGATCAAGAGCGATGTGTATGCGCGGAATCTGCTAATTGAAAACTATTTGACCTGCGGCTCGTCAGGATAAGTAGATCGGTAATTGATTTATTTTCGTTTTTATTTTCAGATTTACAGTGTGCGAAATGAGAATTTGTAAGAATCGTCGGTAACACACGAGCGGGTATATACTGTTGAAAAAGAGAACTGTTTAAAAAAAGAGGGAACGCAGACAAGCAATTAATCACTATAGTTGGAATACAACACATGTGTCCCTTTCTCTCTCTCTCTCTCTCTCTCTCTCTCAAGGTACTCAACTCATCGGTCGCTCGAGTTTTTTTCACCCGAGCTCTTTGTCGCTCTCTCGAAAAATGTGTTCTAAATTGGAGCGATTTCGTAGCATGTGCGTCTGAATCATCAGTAGTTTTAGGTACATTAAAAATATATTAGCACTCTTAAAAAGGGGGAGCCTTGAAATGTACTGATTTTAATTCGTATTGTAATTAATTTAAACCTCGAACCTTGTTGATACCTACGGTCATAAAAAAGTGGGACTACCTTTGGTGTAATATTAAATTCTGGCTAAATAAGCGTGTTCGTGTAAAAGGACATTAGCAAGGAAGACGATCACGGAGATTAGGCAAATAACGAGGGAGCTAATGACCAAAGCTTCTGAATTATAAAGCAATTGAGGGCTAAAGCCTTTGCTTTAATTACAGGAGTAGGGTGAGACGCGACATCGTCGAAGAATGCCGAAAAAAGCAGAGCTCCGAAATTCCGAAAAATCCGCCCAAGAGACGAATCCCACACACATGTGCTATGGCGTTTTTGCAACACTGGTGGACACATTCTCTCGAGCTGTCCTTGTTGCCTCTTTCTCTCTCCCTATCGTCTAGCTTTTAACGAGCCCTTTGGCTGCCTCGCAGCTTCAAGATGGATTCGAATGAAAGCTATACTAAAATAGGTCCTCCACTTCTTTTTCGGCCTGATCGGAAGAAGGGAGCCCGAGATGTTATTTATTGTGCGTGCAGTGCCTTTCGAGGTAAAAAAAATATCGACTTATTTATTATTGCCTTGAAGTGGTTCGCGGTGACAGTTTTTGAGCGATGGTTTACAGCCACTTGTTAGATCTTTTCAAGTATTTTAAAATCTTGAATTGATGCAAAATTGATTTTTATTAAAATATAAGAAAGCCAAAGAAATAATGTCTTTGGTTAAAGAAAACCTGCTGAATTTGATATTTCTGAATGCACTCATTTCAATTGTAACATAAGCCATTCTACTTTTTGTTAAATAACGTTGTACTATATACTATAAGTCATAATTTGTTTTAACAACCATTTATTATTCTGCTGAATGTCGCGAGTGCATAAACAATTTTTGATAAAAAATGTTTTTAATATTTTATCAAATGCATTAAATGTCTAATATATTTTCATACATGCTATCATGGCGGTATCTATTATACTATGATTAGCATTGGCATATCGGAGATTAAATGCAAACTAAAGATGTGCGTAAAGTATTTCATGAGTCACAAAATCTTGAGTGATTTCTTGAACACTAGAGCAACCTTGAAAAATATAATATTATCATCATTATAATAAAAAATTTGGCGCTTAATTGAAAAGCATTATTCACGATTGATTTTATAAAGTAATTACCCGCCATGGCAAATGTTTCATCAATGTCATTTCGTATCATTTCAAGTATTGCACGAGCACCTTGCACCCCTCCGCAAGCTAATCCCCATATTAGGGGTCGACCCATAAAAACCTGCAAAATAAATGATCTTATCAGCATTATACATCTCAATCGAAATTCACTTGGATATTATGAGTTTTCATACCATTTTAGCACCGAGAGCTAATGCTTTGAATACATCTGTGCCTTGCCTGATCCCACCATCCATATATACTTCTGCTCTGTCTCCAACAGCTTTAACAATATTTGGAAGAACTTCGATCTGCCAAGATAAAATATGAATGACAGCTATCAAAATACGAGAAAATGGGATTTTTATTAGGTACCGTAGCAGGAACCGAGTCAAGTTGTCGACCACCATGGTTAGATACTAGTATACCACTTGCACCATGTTTAATTGCTAACAATGCATCTTCCGGTCTCAAAACCCCTTTTACAACAATTGGCAATTTCGTAACTCTAAAACAGATACAAGTCAATTATATTGTGCTAAACAAACAACACAAATATATAAAACTATAACCTTTTAAGCCACGACACGTCTTTCCATGTCAGAGAATCGTCCATCATTGATTTGACTTGTAAAAAAATATTGCCTATATCTTTTTTAGAATACTTAGTTTCGAAATAATCTTGATAGATACTTAATCTGCAAGCAAATTAATATATTAACATTAGCAACTGAGTAAAGTCTCTTCTGTATTAAATTTCATATATAACTTACTTTATTTGCTGGGAAATGGTAAATATTTTATTAGTTTTGGAGTCTGGCATGACAGGATTATCAATAGTTACTACAATCGCTTTAAAACCTGCTTGCTCAGCTCTACGAACCAGATGAATAATGCAATCGCGATCTTTTAAAATTGTTAATTGGAGCCATTTAATACCCTGTGGAGCTGCGTTTGCCACTTCTTGAATTGAGCTGTTGGCGTAGGCTGAAAGAATGAAGATTATTTTTGCAGACTCTGCAGCTGGAATGTAATAAAAAATATTTAAAAGTATACCAATATAATCAGAAAAGACAATAAAACAATTAAATTATGTAAATTATAAAAAAAAGGTATGGTCTGTCCTTTGTATATATATATATATATATATATATATATATATATATATATATATATATATAAAATTCTATTTTCTTTGTGATTCATTGTTACAATTTGTATCATAAAGATTATTCTGACATACCTTTCGCATTAGCACATTCTCCTTCGGAGTGTGCCAGTTTTTGAAGTCCAGTTGGCGAAATTCCTAGAGGCATTGAAATTTTTTCTCCAAGAATGAATGTACTAATATTTCTCATTGATACGTTTCTCAGCAGTTTCGGGTGTATTCTTAATCTGAAAAATTAAATATCAGTGGAATCGCTTTATAATAGTCATATCATTTTATTATTACCTTTTAAATGCTTCTTTGTTAAGCTTCACCGTCTCTTGTGATCCAGAGCCACGTGTGTAATAATTTTGGACATCTTGAGGTAAATGACTTAAGGCATGATTTTCAAAATCTTGAATAGATGAAAAATTCTCCATCCTGACAAACAAAAAACGATAATTGACAATGACTTCTTGGAATAAATGTTCGGCAATTAAATTATCTGAATTAAAATGAACTTTTAACAAACATATAATTATTAAAAATTATAAATAATAAGTAACTATGATAATATAAACATAAGCACTTACTTTCTATCACAATCACTAAACAAGTTATATTTACAATTATTTCTGTATTAATAGAATTTTCGATCATAATTCCGATAAACAATATGCTTATATAAATTCAATGTTCGTGTGATGTCTACGATCTCTCTTGTTTACGCTCGCACTGAACACGACTCATCTCACTTCCACAGCGCGCGCACTGTAGTAAAATATTAAACACTTGCTACGGGCGTATAATATCGCGTCTGATCAAGAGTTTTTATATCTTGTATTTTTAAAAGTTTTCATTCTTTAATTATTGCATCATATCCTCCTTTCTTAAAAAGTGTTGGCTTGGAAAGCGAAGACAGATCGTCATCTGATTGACTGAAGAATAGTTACGTTATCAGCTGTTGTGATAGTATGTATGTGTGTGATATGTACGCTTATGAAAGATTGCTGCAGACTTTTGTATACCATTAAAAGTAATATAAATTTATTGATTTTATCATACTATAAGCCTCAAAATAAAAAAAATGAACGAGCGTTAGACATCACTAGCTGCACTAATATCAGATTGACATTTATCACTGAGCAAAGTGATAAAGTGTTATCATATGCTTTATTGACTCTGATAAGATTCATTGCAGTTTGGAGATTTGATTTGAAAAAAATGTTCTTTCTTTTTGAACGCTTTGAACTGACTTTCTTTTTAATCATCGGAAATTGTAATTTTAATATATTGACGGGGTACTAATTTTTTCGAATATTACTAAACAGAAGTTAAACCAACGAAATTTAATGCGTTTATGCGTTAATTTTTACATAATATGTCGAAAACTCATAATGTGTTTTTCGAACTTGCTAATTACTGAGGGGTCTGTATAAAACAGATCATGTACAATAGTTTACTGCGCTGTATTGTTATATCATTGAGATAGTCACCACCATCAAATACTACTGCGCGGCACCTCTTCTCTCCTCAGTCCATGATAAAGGCGACATATCAGTTTTCCTAATTTTTGATATAATGAAGACATTGATTGATTAGTATTACTTCGTTTCTCGATAAGTCTTGAAAAAATCTTTTCAAAGCTTAAATTTGATTTTTTTTAAATATTTGTTAACATGTAACACTGTACGTTATGAAAAAATATTGTATATGCATAATGTTCTTGACATTCCTTTTTATATTGAATTATTTTTATAAATACCTGTATTACACAATATTGACATTTGATAAATATATTTTCCTACTTTATCTATAAACTGAGATTTCTTATTTTATCTGAAATAGATATAAAAAAAAGTAATCTTTTCATGTTTTCCAAAATCTTTCATTTGTGATTAAATTTTTTTGAAATTCTCGTACTCTTGCCATCAGTATTAAAACATGTTTCTGCCAGTGACAGAAATAAAAATCTTTAGGTTAAAAGTGTACAAGAAATTTTAGTCAGCAATATTTAAACAAATTCTCATTTAACTACATAGAATTAATTAAGATCGTCAAAACGTTTAAAATCGGTGACATGACGAGAAAACGTTTTATTTTTCATGTCGAATGAATCATTTGACAAGTGGTCGACAAACTCAGTAAATCATACAACAAAAGCTTATTACTTTACCCAAATATAAAATATTTCAATACGAAGATGCGATTCCAAGATGGAAATTTTCTGCAACACGAGAAGTGCAAACTCGCAATCAGGCGTAACGATGAATTACACGCTCGCGTCAAGTATTTAGCATTCCAACAGGAGTCGTTTGAAAAGAGGCATTGTCCGTCGACTTCTCGTTCCGTAAGTATTCGGTTTCTCCAACAGAAAGCAAAGGAAAAAAAATAACCCCGCTCTCTCAACTCTCTCAATAAAGGGTCGAAATAAAATAGAGGGTTTGCTTTTGTGTGGCAGCCTGACGTAGCGCGTCAGTCTCTTAGCGGCGCAAAAGCGCGCGACCTCCCGGCGAAGGACTCTGATGTGACGGCCTTCAATGCCTTGGAAAAAGAGCGAAACGACCAGTGGTGGTACAGTTACGAGGAAAGAGATTGACAAATAAAAATAATAAGAGGAAAAAAATGGTTAGGCAAGCTGAAGCGGCAACAGCGTGCAGTTGATTGAATTTCAGAAATTAGTCGGCCACGAGAATGAGAGGGACAGCTCCGGTTACTCCATGTTCTGCTCTGACCCCTCTCTTGCCATGGAATATACAAGATTATGTTACCTTGCAACATGCGAAATTTATTTATCGTTAGCGGGCACATACGCGCACAACGGTAGCTCGATCGCGCAAAAAGCGATCTTTCTATTTCCTTTTGAAACGCAACACTTGCCTTCTTAGCTTGTAAGCTTTTCTTCCTTTTCGCTTAAGCGAGCTGTTTTTACGCGTTCTTACGGCTGCGGACTCGCAGAGAAGATTATTTGTGTTCCGAGCGAACGTCAGTTAAGATTACGTTTGATGCGTGTCATTCGGATTGGTGCTTGTAACGTGGATCAGAAAATGATTGCGCCCCCTTTAATACGATCTAAATGCATACTACGAAGCCGTTAATTTCTTCCGGGAGTCAAGAAGATTCCAAAGTCATTTGTTTTGTTAGCTGACCAAATTAGCATTAGCGCATGCTAAAATGCTTAATCCAAATTGTCAGACGTCAATCGAATTTTAGCTAGCACAATGCGCGACTTCTGCATTCTTGCATATGATCTTTTAAATCTAGAAATAACTACTGCCAGTTTCTCATTATTCAATAATAATTTCGGTCAAAAACATTTTCTTCAAAAACTAAAGATTTTTTAAAGTACACGAGCCGTCACATATTAACTTCATATAATCAACTTTTATTGCTAAACATCGTGACACTCGACTTATAAGAGCGTTTTTACAGAAAACATTATTGTTTAGTAATACATCGATATGTGTCTAATAAAACGTTGAAAGTTAAGATAAATGACGGCAGAATGATGATTCACTTGATATTTTTGTATGAAGTCGTTGGTGAAATCGCCCCAAGAAAGATAACTTCTCGGACAACTGTGTAAATTAATACCCAAAAGCTCTCCATCTTGATCTAACAATGGTCCTCCAATATCTCTCTGTAAAAAATCAAGTTACCACTTTATCATTGAAGATGAAATCATTACTTGATATGTTTCGTTACACGATTGAAAAAAATTTATTTACGTTCTCTAATAAAACATAAGGTTCGGCAAAGGTACATATTATTTTTGAACTAATATTATGATTTCTATTAGTTATTCGACTCATCATCTTTGAACAGTCTTCATCCTTTAAAATATTTACGATTCCTTTTGTTAATGGTTCGGCATTTTGAAGTCGAGTCCATCCTAAAATCATCGCCGTTTTTCCTTGAACTTGTTGTTTATTGAATTTGCTCATACGAACGGGGGCCACGTTTATAGGTCTCCTTGATAACTGTAACACACATGAAGCAACAAGCAAAATATAAGTCGAAAAACTAAACAAAAAATAGTTTATTCATAGTTTAACTGTAATTTAGTGCTGTATTAAACTTACTTTTATCATAGCAATATCATTCTCACCCCTTATATCCGGCAAATTTTGTCTAGCAGCCCACGTATCGTAGCTGTACCATCCGCGTACTCGATACAATGCAAAAGATTGTTGTAAATCGGCCATTCGAAATACAATTCGAGTTTGAGATACATTTCTACCTTGTAGGCAACTCATAATTGTTAAAACGTAATGGTCCGCGACAAGTACTCCTGAACAGATGTGGTGTCCACTGATATTTTGAATTGATGCCATGAAAGGAAATTCTTGATCATTAGCTTCTACGATTTTTTGACCGCTTAATGGCTCTACCCTCGCGGTAACTGTAAAAACCATAATATACATACATCACAAATATATACTTTTATATACACTAAAGTATCGTGGTTGAATATTGTGGAGGTGAAAAAAATAATAGTTGTAATTACATAATAATAACTGTTGAATAATGTAAAAATAAACTGTTTTGTACATATCGAAATATAATTAGTTGAATAAATCTGTATTCAATTTCTATTCTCAAGTGCTCAACAAGTAAAACAACTTTACGAAAATTGTTTCAACTCTATTTTATAGACAATTTATCGTTTCCAGCTTTTTAGCACTCACGTTATTATCTTATGACTTATTTACTGCGCATGCCTGTAGTCATACTTCAACAAATAAAGATTTGTTAAAGTAAGCGAGCCGTCACGTATTAATTTCATATAATTAACTTTTATTGCTAAACGTCGTGACACTCGGCTTATAAGAGCGTTTTTCGAGTCCATCCTAAAATCATCGCCATTTTTCCTTCGAGTTGTTGTTTATTGAATTTGCTCAAACGAACGTGGTCCGCAATGAGAGATTGATATGATAACTGCAACATACGTGAAGCAGCAAGCAAAATATACAGTTGTGTGGATACGTTAGTTCCCAACTTGTACTAAAATACCCAAAATTCTAAATTTTCTAGCTTCGTCTATAATGGACATAGAAAAACTCGCAGTAGTTCATTTTAAAGAAAAAATAATATTTTTCAAATTCCGTTTGTTTTTTAATTTAAAATCGCGTATTTTACATTAGAAAAAAACTAAACCATTTTTTTACTTTTAATTTTTTACCCCTCGATAAAATCACCTTCTAACTTTTGAACGAGTAAATTATTTTTTTTTAATTAGGTGGAATAAATGCGGATTTATCTCCTCTTTAAAACGAGCGAGGTAGGATTCATTTGTATCGAACTAATAAAATATTACGTTCATTTTTGTGAAAAAAATCACTTTTCTTAGGGTTGATTATCTTAGAACATATGTACTGTGAAAAAAAACTCCAAAAAGAAAAAATGTTGACTTTTTCAGGTAGAATAAATATTTACTAACAAAAAATCAGTTTTGAAAAAGATTTTTTTTTTCATTTTTTACCAAATTTTTTTCTATAAACTTTTTTTAATTAAAATAGTCAAGTTACTGATCACAAGTACATCACTATTTAATTATATTTAGGAGATTTGCTTCAAAACATTCATAACCAAGCAAATTTCTAATTTCTATCACAATTTTTTAACGTATAAGAATATATTAAAATATACACTAATTTTAACTGGATTTGAACTTTGTTATATATTCAAAACTACAGATTGTACATTTTCATAACAAAATAATTCCATAATTTTTAAAATATATTTTATCACAAATAAAAAAATATCTACCACAATATTGAAACACTGTTCGAAAGTGATTAACTATCAGATTACAATATATAATTTTAATTACATTAGTATCATGCACGAGTGTAGACAAACGTTTATTCTGGATGTCATATGAAGTACGAAAACATAAAAGTTCAGTACTCCAATTACTCCAATCTTACTTCTAACAGTTTTATCAGAAACTTACAAACGCCTACGTCATAATATTGCGATACATGTGACTTAATTATTTTGTTATAAAAATGTGCGATCTTTAGTTTTGAATATGTAATAAAGTTGAAATCCAGTTAAAATCAGTGTATATTTCAATATATTCTTATACATTAAAAAATTGTGGAAACAGTTTGCTTGGTTGTGAATTTTTTGGAAAAAATCTTCTAAATATAATTAAATATTCATGTTTTTTTCATCGGTAACTTGACTATTTTAATTAAAAAAAGTTTATAGAAAAAATCTGGTAAAATTGAAAAAAAATCTTTTTAAAACTTAATTTGTGTTAGTCAATACTTATTCTACACGCAAAAGCATTTTTTTCTCGTTGCAGTTTTTTTTCCATAGTGCATATGTTCGAAGATAAGCAAATTGTAAAAGAAACAATTTTTTCAACAAAAATGAACATAACGTTTTATTGGCACGATAAAAATGGATCTTGTCCAGTTTATTTTAAAGAGAAGATAAATGCGCATCTATTCCATCTTGTTGAAAAAAACTCGTTCAAAAGTTAGAAGATGCTTTTATCGAAGGGTAAACAATGAAAAAATAAAAAAATGGTTCAATTTTTTCAATGTAAAAAACGCGATTTTTAAATAAAATACTAACGGAATATGAAAAGTATTGCTTTATTCTTTAAAAGGATCCCTGCTAGTTTTTCTACGTCTATCATAGACGGAGCTAGAAAACTTTGAATTTTACGCAGAATTTATTACAGGGTGGGATCTAACTTATGTACGTAATTGTAAGTTGTGAAGCTTAACAAATAGTGGTTTAATTATAGTTTAAGTATAATTTAGTACTGTGTTGAACTCACTTTTATGATAGCAGTATCCTCCTTATCACTTCCTTCCGACAGCTGTAGTCTAGCAGCCCAACCATCGTAGACGTAATATCCGGCTATTTTACACCTTCGAAAAGTTTGTTGCAAATCGGTCATCCCAAATCCAATTCGAATATTCCCTAGTATTTCATTTTCTAGACAATGCTTAACTGTTATAATGAGACAGTGCGTAATAAGTACTCCTGAACAGAAGTGGTGTCCACTGGTATTTTGAATAGATGCCATGAATAGAAATTCTAGATCATTAGCTTCTACGATTTTCTGCCCGCATAATGGCTCTACCTTCGCGGTAACTGTAAAACCATAATATATATATACATAACAAGTATATACTTTCATATACACTAAGGTTTCGTGGTTCAATATTACGTAGGTGAAAAAAATAATAGTTGTAATTACATAATAATAACTGTTGAATAATGTAAAAATAAACTGTTTGGTACATATCCGAATATAATTAGTTGAATAAATCTGTATTCAATTTCTATTCTCAAGTGCTCAACAAGTAAAACAACTTTACGAAAAATTTTTCAACTCTATTTTATAGACAACTTATCGTTTTAAGCTTTTTAGCGCTCATGTTATTATCTTATAACTTATTTACTGCACGTGCCTGTACTGATACGAATATGAATATTTTTATTTAAATTCATAAATATATTGTTCAACAAATAAAGATTTGTTAAAGTACACGAGCCGTCACATATTAACTTCATACAATCAACTTTTATTGCTAAACATCGTGACACTCGGCTTATAAGAGCGTTTTTACAGAAAACATTATTGTTTAGTAATACATCGATATGTGTCTAATAAAACGTTGAAAGTTAATATAAGTGAGGGCAGAATGATGATTCACTTGATATTTTTGTATGAAGTCGTTGGTGAAATCGCCCCAAGAAAGATAACTTCTCGGACAACTGTGTAAATTAATACCCAAAAGGTCTCCATCTTGATCTAACAATGGTCCTCCAATATCTCCCTGTAAAAAATCAAGTTACCACTTTATCATTGAAGATGAAATCATTACTTGATATGTTTGGTTACACCATTAAAAAAAATGTATTTACTTTCTCTAATAAAACATAAGGTTCGGCAAAAGTACATATTATTTTTGAACTAATATTATGATTTCTATTAGTTATTCGACTCATCATCTTTGAACAGTCTTCATCCTTTAAAATATTTACGATTCCTTTTGTTAATGGTTCGGCATTTTGAAGTCGAGTCCATCCTAAAATCATCGCCGTTTTTCCTTGAACTTGTTGTTTATTGAATTTGCTCATACGAACGGGGGCCACGTTTATAGGTCTCCTTGATAACTGTAACACACATGAAGCAACAAGCAAAATATAAGTCGAAAAACTAAACAAAAAATAGTTTATTCATAGTTTAACTGTAATTTAGTGCTGTATTAAACTTACTTTTATCATAGCAATATCATTCTCACCCCTTATATCCGGCAAATTTTGTCTAGCAGCCCACGTATCGTAGCTGTACCATCCGCGTACTCGATACAATGCAAAAGATTGTTGTAAATCGGCCATTCGAAATACAATTCGAGTTTGAGATACATTTCTACCTTGTAGGCAACTCATAATTGTTAAAACGTAATGGTCCGCGACAAGTACTCCTGAACAGATGTGGTGTCCACTGATATTTTGAATTGATGCCATGAAAGGAAATTCTTGATCATTAGCTTCTACGATTTTTTGACCGCTTAATGGCTCTACCCTCGCGGTAACTGTAAAAACCATAATATACATACATCACAAATATATACTTTTATATACACTAAAGTATCGTGGTTGAATATTGTGGAGGTGAAAAAAATAATAGTTGTAATTACATAATAATAACTGTTGAATAATGTAAAAATAAACTGTTTTGTACATACCGAAATATAATTAGTTGAATAAATCTGTATTCAATTTCTATTCTCAAGTGCTCAACAAGTAAAACAACTTTACGAAAATTGTTTCAACTCTATTTTATAGACAATTTATCGTTTCCAGCTTTTTAGCACTCACGTTATTATCTTATGACTTCTTTACTGCACATGCCTGTACTGATACAAATATGAATATTTTTATTTAAGTTGTAAATATATTTAAATCTATGAACTACAAAGTACAACTTTTGTCAAGTTCAACTTCAATTCAAAGAACTTTCATCATTATTACTACCATGTTTTTACTTGCTTTTATGAACCTACCTTAATACATAAGCTCCAAAATAGAAAGTATTTATATGTGTTTAGTATCACACAAGACTTTTGATTTTTACTTGCCAATATTTTATATCGTCAATATTCACCGAGCAGTATATAATTGAAAGTTCCTCTGAATCTAAATCGAAAGTGACCCAAACCTCAAAGTCACTTTCTGACTTAAGCAAATTTATAATAATCATTGTAAAACCCATATATTCTCTTTTTTTTTCTGATTTATATAATAAAATTATGATGGCTTTTTAAGGCAAACTACGTGAAACAATAGTTTACATTAAAGCAAAAATAAAGACGCAAATCGTTGCAGTTTAAAACTTGTGCTTCGCCGACAAATTATCACGAAAGCAACACTTTAACGCAGCGCGGTAGCTGCAACGGCATAGATACGACACGTGGAAGCATTGAGAGGATTGATCTATTAGCGCTAGTTAGCGCCTCACGATCCTCTGCGCAACAGGTATGTCTAGAAGCCTTTGACCTCGCCGACTTAGCTTATGTAATTTTAGATAAGACCGAGGGGCTGGATTTTTGTTAGTTGATTTTTATTCTTTTGTGGTTGAGCGAAGTGGTCGTAGAGACCTTTTTACGTTTACCTGCGAGAAATCTTTTATCGCTCTCTCGCTTCGCGATGAATAGATGCTTCGGCAAATAAGCCCGCTCGGATGTTGGTTTTTTGTTTTTCTCTATTTTTGTTGCGTGCCATTTTTTTGTTGACTCTTGCACTGGATTTACTCTTTTTGTGTAACATTTAATGGCTTTTCCTCAGCGATTTTTTTTGTTACACTCGCAAAAAGGAGAAAAGAGTGTAGTCGTCAATGTCTTATTGCATGCTGTGACGCAAGGCAAATATGTTTTTAGCGGAAATACTGGAAAATAATATTAAGAGCATATAATTTCGAAGTCAGTTTCGATTTTATGATTTTTTTTACTTGCACAACGGTTTATATTTTACATCTCGTCTACATAAGAAGCTACGAAGCTACAACACTTCATTTAAAATATTTGTCAATTGAAGGTCGACAAAGTGAAACGAAAAGAATGTGCAAAGTACAGTGCTTCTTGCGTAAAATGATTACAAGTCAATTTAAGTTTCCAGAACGTGATGTGCATGTAAATAGACGTCTCAAATCACGTCATATAATTCTCGGAAAATCCATATCGCGCTTTAAGCTGTTTAGTTTGAAAGAAATATCTGTCGAGCTTAACAGAAACACGAGTATGTGATGGTGAACGCACGTTTATACCAACCAAGTTTGTTTCATAAAAAAAAACTATGTGCGTAAGAAAATATAGTTTCGCGTACGTTCAAGCAGAGCATTTGCTGGTATATTCCACAAGAGTTGGCTGTGCAAAAAAGCAATATTAGAAGCGACCAACTTTATTTTTCGTAAACAAATTATAAGCATTCTCTGAAGAATGTTTCGGCATGCCTCAAGCGAAGCATATATATTCTGTCACGAAAGCAATTCTCGTGAGTGTAAATTTACGTTGGTCTCATGAGACTAGGAGTGTTTAAAAGTAACGGATATCACGACGTACTGTATCACGATCACTACCAACTTTTCATTCGCTTTCGTGGATTTTGAAAGTTGAACTGTTTTCATTTAAAGGCGTAGGAGAAAAATCAGCAAAATTTTATTTGCAACAAAGTCATCTATATACAGCGTTGGCGCTGAATCGCAAATCTTATAAAAGTTCCACGAATTATTGGTTAATAAAGCTACTCAGTCGATCATGAATATAAAGCACAGACCTTGCGACGCATATTTGCGAAAAGACCAATCAAACGAATGGAACAATCGACCGGTATTGCCCTGCGAGAGGGCAATCTGGTTGCTCGCCACTGTAACATTGGATTTATCACGTCGCAACGACGATGCCCGCTATAGCTGATATCGCGAACCACTACCTACATTCAACAAGCGTATACGTGGAGAGAAAACGTGTAGCGAGCTCGCACATCCATATACTCGTATATAAAATCTAAGAGTGGTACACGCCTTTCGCGAGTGCATTGACTGCACGATATGCAGACCAAATAGGAAACGCCCGCGATTTAGGCCGTTTTCTCTCTCTCTCTCTCTCTCTCTATCTCTCTCTCATGGTGATCACGATAAGCTACGTGCATGTGGTACGGATTTCTTTTTTTCACCCATTCTGTATAATCGTATTTGCCATTCCGATAAGCAGTTTTGTATGTAAATGTCGCGCTTATCTAATGGGGTTGCACCATTTCTTTTAACTCTTAGAAACACTTTGAAAAATGCAGGTTAAGAAAAACATCATCAAATTTTTGTGAAAAAGAATTCGCACGGAAAAGTGATTGTTAAGTATAAAAAGTCTGCTCCATGTTTCCCAAAAGATCTAAGCAAACTCGTTATTTATTCTTGCGCAATGTATGGAGACGAAAAATAATATGAACAATCTATCCCCTTTGACGTGCCCGAACAAGAAGAAGAAGAAGACGAAGAAGAAGAAGAAGAGGAAGAAGAAGAAGAAGAAAGGATCGAGACAAATAATAATAACGCTTGGCGAAATAAAACAAGTCGCCGTCGAAACGATCGCCTGCATAAATTTGATCCTTTGCGAGAGAGTGCTTAGCATAAACAATGGGGGTTGAGCTCTCGCGGTGCAACTCGTCGTATCTACGTACAATGGATTTGCCTTTTTTTGCTCGGCTTCTCACCCCGCGCGTAACAATGGTCACTCGGCGCGCGCACGCCCACGATGTCGCTTCGAGATTTTACGCGCGCGCGCACCCACACACACACACACGCGCACACGCATACGTACACACATACACAGAAGCTGGAGTTATGAGCAGCGGGGTTGTTGCTTTTTTTCTTCGCTAGCTCGTTTTTTCGTCTCGTTTCGCTTGCGCATCAAGTCCTTGTGTCGCCGTAAATCTCTCGACCGTTTAGATACGCATCGCAGAGCGAAAAGGAGACCACAACGACGACGACGAGCAACCGCTCTCTACAGTGCAGTCTTTGGCTTTTTGCGCAATGCCGCCTCGAGTAGAGGTGTGGATATATACTGGATTTTCGGGTTTGGCTATATTTCTTCGGCTATGACATGTTTTAGCCCAATTATTTTATACTCCCCCTTTTTCCTGTAGATGTGTTTTTTCCCGAAGAAACTCTCATCTTGTATATTTTCGTATTGTGGGTCAACAATTTTTGTTATCGAAAGCTCGATTTGATACTTTTTAAGTTGGCTACTTTAATTAAACTAAATCAGATCAAACGGTATATGATACTGCTACATTAAAAATTGCTGTGAAACTAATCGAATATAACATAACGATGAATTACTGCAAGCTATCATAAAACTCAAACATAACTTACAGCAATAATCGTACATCAAATAAACCAACAGTAAAAGTCATTAAAATGCAAGAAGTGTGCAGCAGCAATCCTTCCTTCTGTTGACAAAGACCAAAAAAGAAGATGCAAATATTAAACAAAATTCCTCTCGTCACCTCTCCTTTAGGCTGCGCGAACGGAAATCGAATAAGGGATACACACACAGCAGCTTTATTTTAAAATTCATCGGACGCGCGAGCCTCTCGGCTTGAAAAGTGCATACGTGCGTAAAAGTCAACCGCACGCACGAAGAGGTTTTCACGCTTGATCGCAGCCATATCCACACACGCGTGCGCGCGCGCACGCGCGTGTGTGTATGTATGTGTATAGTGCTTCGCTCTCCTTTTTTACTACTGCAGGTCGATGGGGCGATAAACTCTCTCCTCGCACATACATGTATATTTGTACACACACGCGCATAGGAGGTAGGTGGAGGATCGTATCTCCGAACACACATACAATGTAATATACATGAAGAGAGAGTTTAACTCAGCGCGCATGCGCCCTCAGATGCTCCGTATTATAATTCAACCGGTTTTTTTTTTCAAAAGATGCTCTCTTCTTCTTTTCTCGTCGTATCTTTTTCCTATCCTCCCTACCAATACTCTCCGGTCGCCGATGCTATACAGCTGGGGCGAAGGACCTTTATGCGTTGCTGTTGACGATTTTCTATTCGCTTTATTTTGAAAATTCTCAAATATAAATATCTCGCGAGATCGGACAAATCGATCTTGCTTGCATGAGTCAATTAAGGGACTGTAATAATGTCTGGAAATTTCACTCGTCAATAACTTACTTCCACAAATGATGAACGAAAGTAACAATGTTATACTAATTCATAGGATCTACGTGCCAAACTGAATAACAGTCGGAATACAATTTTTCACTACAACGAATGACTCAATTTCCAAACGTGTGATTGCAATCGAAGTAATGGCAATTTGTGCTCCTCTTTGGCGATAATCGCTTTGAGATGGAAGCGCTGTTTGTGTTTTGAATGGGACAGCTTTCCAAAAACTCTCTGCGTGCACTCAGATGCTAGATTGTGTCTTTCCAAACGAACATCCAAGACTCCGCAGTGGCGATTATCTTTACTTTCTCGGTTCCCCCATACTGTTTTACGTACTTTTTAAGGAAGGAATGCTCAGAGCGGTGGCGACATTAATGACTGGTTTGTAAGGTAGTTTCTCATTATTTGCATCATTTATATATTTCAATGATACGTTTTCTTAATTCTTTGTCTCGAAATCCAGTTTGCAGCAAAAAAAAGAAAAAGCAAAAACGATTTTTAATATTGATATAAACAAAGAAAATGAAGCTCTGTTGAGCATCCAATTTCAATCTGGAGGGAATAAAAATGCAATCTTTCTTGCCCGCTGTCGCGGTTCCTCAATGCAAGCGCGCCTGGATTTTAACGATCGACGATCGTCGACCAAGAGAGCGCTCATGCATAATGTAGAGAAAAGGAAGGCATATATGCTGCCTTGGATTGCAACCGGGTTCGCGCTGTCGCACACAGAGAGACACGGGCACACGAACGCACGCGCACACAGACGAAGGGATGACGCGAGCATTTCGGCGCCTGAGTGCTGAATGCAGCGCTTTATCCCCGTTTCCGATCGGCCGCCACTTCGTCATCCGAGGCGCGACGATTTCTTCTTCTCCTTCGCTTTTTTTTTCGGTTTCAAGGCTTATACAGCGCCTGGTTTTCCTGCCTGCTGCGGCTTACGATATTCCTCTTGTCTTCTCGCCACATATCGACAATCTTTATCCCTGAGTGTTTTCGTTTCTTGATGTCTAATGCGCTCTGAGCTTTGGAAAAGCAAGTTTGGCAGCCTCGAGTACGCACGTGTGTGTCTTGCTTTTATTTTACCTCTCGATGGATGCGCATTAGTCGCTGACGTATTCGGCCGGGGATGGATTTATCTTATTTTTCTTCTTCTCGTCTTTCCTTCGCTTCTTAAGTTAATAGAGAAGTCGTGTACGTTCGATCTGCGTAAGCTTTAAAAGCCCTTAATGGCCGTTCACAATTCATTTTGAATTTATGACAAAGCTTTTTCTTTCCGAGCGCTTTAGAATGCATTCTAAGCAGTTATTTCATTTCTTTTATACATTTGCCGATAAAATTAATCGACTAATGTGTCACTGAAGAAATAACTTTTACCCATACGGTAAAAGGCTTCAAATACGTACATCATTTGCTTTGCTTTTATTGCAAGTTAAATTTCCCCATCGCGAAGAAATATAATAAACAATCGCCATTCAATTGTATATGGATGCCCCGATTTGTAAAAATGCATTGTGCGTAGAAGATTGTAACGAAAATTTTTTAATCAAGGCAGCTTCATAATACATCGTTCACGCTTTCAGAAAAGCGTTACATCATCTCCCACTCATTAACTACTTACAAAGCGTCAGCTTGATTCATCATTTACAATTCTTCATTTTCTCCTCTACGTACAAGCTAATCTCCTTTAGCTTTAAAGAAGGTAGAAAAAATCTCGGCTACAGTTACTCGATTCTACGGCTGCACAAAAAAAAGTGAGCCGTAGAGATTCGCATACGCAATTAAAAATTACTCACGAGAGAGATTAACGAGCACCAGAAAAAAAAATTACGGGCATCAATTAAATGAAATTTCAAACTACCATAGCAGCACAACCCAAGGTCGCTTCTATACGCGCGCGTAGGATTATAAAGGCGCGGCGATACAAAAAAAGGAACACACACGGTTGTTATTATTATATACATATATAGCCGCGATAGCGAATGAACAAGTCGATCCGGTTCTTTCCGCGCGAGTCCGGAGGCAAAAGCTCTAAAACCCGCTATCTCTCTCACTCGCTTGCTCGCGAGGGCGAACGACGAGCCTATCACGCGTTTCCGGCCTGCACTTCTCTCTCTCTCTCGCTCTCTCTCTCTCTCTTTCGCTCTCTCGGGCGCGCGCGAACCCATTATATTGCTTAGGTGTTCTTTTGGCGCATGCGTACGTTACCCGCAAAACACTTATTATGCTTGTCTTGTCTTCGTGCGGTGACTTTGTCCAGCTCGAAGAGAGAGAAAATTGTCTTCATGGAATTTCACCGTCAACACGCAGTTTGTCCAGAGGTATTTCTTTGAAGGTGAGGTTGATTGAGCTGAGAAGGCACAATCGAGCGCTATTTATTGAGAAATTTACAGAAATCATGAGTCACAAATTGCGTTGAGCTGAGTTTGAACAAAAAGTAAAGTAAGAGTACACCGTAAAGTTATTACCGATGCAAATATAGGATGGAAAACAGGAACATTGCGCAGACTGACTTGCTTGTTATGGAAGGCTTTTTCGAGCAGACATTATATCAGCCTTGAAAACCGAAGCTTATCTCGCATTCACATCATGCAAAATAAACAAAATATCAATGCGTATCGTACGTTCGTCCTGTGCAGAGGTGGAAAATAAATGTAGCCAAGAGAAAAGCCTAAAGCTGAATACACATTGACGTATCAGTCGCGCGAAAGCATTGTGTGCTTTCTCGGATATCCTTAACGCACTCGCTCGCACGAGGCTTGGCTCTGTCTCGCGCGTCCTCAGCACTCCCTCGAACCAGATAAGGTAGGAAAATAAAGGCAGATATGCGGCTGTTCGCGCACGCGCGTGCAACCGCATATCGTCCATTGGTATCGCCTTTGTTGTTCGAGAGAGAGAGAGAGAGAGAGAGAGAGAAAGAGTGCCGAAGATTTATCTTTGCGCTCACAGTTATCGAGAGTATTATCCAGCGACTCGTCTGTGTATATATATCCACTTACACATACAAACGAATATTGTAGAAAATAGCTATGCTTGGATAACCAAAGCCTCTGAGGCAGACTTCCTTTAAAAAAAATGCACATTGCAGGATATTAAACGTAGATATACTCGTCAACGTTTTGCGCGCCTTGCTCGTTGTTCATTTACGATGGATTATTTCACTCGCTTCGTGTTATTACGAAGAGCTCCCGTTTTACGAGTGCTCAAGAGGATATAATGCTAAAAAAAATTACAAGTCTGCGTGTCTTAGGCATAAATGGATTATGTGACGTACCGTAAAACGACCTAGTTGAATAATTGTTGAGGTTGACAACTTAAGTGAATTTCAGTGGTATTAACTTATTATACAATAAGTATTAAACATCTCTCTTTTGAATAAGAGGAAAAATATTGTATCCAACTTTCCTTCGGTCAGGTTTTTCATACTTTTCTTCATTGATCATTGACACATTGATTGATCTTTTTCAATAAGTTCAATAATACTTTCGATCAAAAACAGTTTGTTCAACAAATAAAGATCTGTTAAAGTACGCGAGCCGTCACATATTCACTTCATATAATCAACTTTTATTGCTAAACATCGTGACACTCGGCTTATAAGAGCGTTTTTACAGAAAACATTATTGTTTAGTAATGCATCGATATGTGTCTAATAAAACGTTGAAAGTTTAGATAAGTGAGGGCAGAATGATGATTCACTTGATATTTTTGTATGAAGTCGTTGGTGAAATCGCCCCAAGAAAGATAACTTCTCGGACCACTGTATAAATTAATACCCAACAGGTTTCCATCTTGATCTAACAATGGTCCTCCAACATCTCTCTGTAAAAAATCAAGTTACCACTTTATCATTGAAGATGAAATCATTACTTGATATGTTTGGTTACACCATTAAAAAAAATGTATTTACTTTCTCTAATAAAACATAAGGTTCAGCAAAAGTACATATTATTTTTGAACTTATAGTATGATTTCTATTAGTTATTCGATTCATCATCTTTGAACAGTCTTCATCCTTCAAAATATTTACGATTCCTTTTGTCAGTTGATCAGAATTTTGAAGTCGAGTCCATCCTAAAATCATCGCCGTTTTTCCTTGGAGTTGTTGCTTATTCCATTGGGTTAAACGAATGGGGACACCATTCATAGGTTCGATTGATAACTGTAACACACAGGAAGCAACAAGCAAAATATATGTCGAAAAACTAAACAAATAATGGTTTATTCATAGTTTAACTGCGATTTAGTGCTGTATTAAACTTACTTTTATCAGAGCAATATCATTCTCATCCCTTATATCCGACAAATTTTGTCCAGCAGCCCACGTATAGTAGCTGTACCATGCGTTTATTCCACACGGTAGAAGGTGTTGTAAATCGGTCATTCCAAATGCAATTCGAAAATAATTTACAGGTTTACCTTGTAGGCAATTCAAAATTGTCAAAACATATTGGAACGTGACAAGTACTCCTGAACAGATGTGGTATCCAGTGGTATTTTGAATAGATGCCATGAAAGAAATATCTAGATTATTAGCTGCTACGATTTCTTGACCGCTTAATGGCTCTACCCTCGCGGTAACTGTAAAAACCATAATATACATACATCACAAATATATACTTTTATATACACTAAAGTATCGTGGTTTAATATTGTGGAGGTGAAAAAAATAATAGTTGTAATTACATAATAATAACTGTTGAATAATGTAAAAATAAATTGTTTGGTACATATCGAAAAATAATTAGTTGAATAAATCTGTATTCAATTTCTATTCTCAAGTGCTCAACAAGTAAAACTACTTTACGAAAAATTTTTCAACTCTATTTTATAGACAACTTATCGTTTCCAGCATTTTAGCGCTCACGTTATTATCTTATGACTTCTTTACTGCACATGCCTGTACTGATACAAATATGAATATTTTTATTTAAGTTGTTAAATATATTGTTTAACTAATAAAGATTTGTTAAAGTACGCAAACCGTCACATATTAACTTCATACAATCAACTTTTATTGATAAACATCGTGACACTCGGCTTATAAAAGCGTTTTTGCAGAAAACATTAGTGTTTAATAATTAATCGATATATCTCTAACAAAACGTCGCATGTTAGAATGAGTGAGATCACAATGATGATTCACTTGATATTTTTGTATAAAGTCGTCGGTGAAATTCCCCCAAGAAAAAGAACTTCCCGGACCACTGTAAAAATTAATACCCAAAAGGCCTCCATCTTGATCTAACAATGGTCCTCCAATATCTCCCTGTAAAAAATCAAGTTACCACTTTATCATTGGAGATGAAATCATTACTTGATATGTTTGGTTACACGATTGAAAAAAATGTATTTACGATCTCTAATAAAACATAAGGTTCGGCAAAGGTACATATTGTTTTTGAACTAATATAAAAATTTTTATTAGTTATTCGACTCATCATCTTTGAACAGTCTTCATCCTTTAAAATATTTACGATTCCTTTTGTTAATGGTTCGGCATTTTGAAGTCGAGTCCATCCTAAAATCATCGCCGTTTTTCCTTGAACTTGTTGTTTATTGAATTTGCTCAAATGAACGGGGACCGCAGTGAGAGGTTGTCGTACTAACTGGAACATACGTGAAGTAGCAAGCAAAATATATAGTTGTGTGCATAAATTAATTCCCAACTTGTACTAAAATTACCCAAAACTCAAAATTTTTTGCTCCGTCTCTAATGGACATAGAAAAACTCGCAGTAGTTCATTTTAAAGAAAAAAGTAATGCTTTTCAAATTCCTTTTGTTTTTCTAATTTAAAATCGCGTTTTTTACATTAACAAAAACTGAACCATTTTTTTACATTTCAGTTTTTACCCCTCGATAAAATCACCTTCTAATTTTTAAACGAGTAAATAAATATTTTTTCAATTAGAAAGAATAAATGCGCATGTATCTCCTCTTTAATATGAGTCAGGTAGGATCTAATTTTTATCGAGCTAATAAAACATTACGTTCATTTTTGTGAAAAATATCACTTTTCTTAGGTTTGATTATCTTCGAACATATGCACTGTGAAAAAAAAATTCATAAAGAAAAAATGTTGACTTTTTTATGTAGAATAAGTATTTACTAACAAAAATTGAATTCTGCAAAAAAAATTTTTTTAACTTTTTTACTAGATTTTTTCTATAAATTTTTTTTAATAAAAATAGTCAAGTTACTGATGAAAAAAACATCACTATTTAATTATATTTAGGATATTTGCTTCAAAACATAAATAACCAAGCAAATTTCTATCACAATTTTTTAACGTATAAGAATATATATTAAAATATAACATAATTTTAACTGGATTTAAACTTTATTATATATTCAAAACTACAGATTGTACATTTTCATAACAAAATAATTCCATAATTTTAAAAATATATTTTATCACAAATAAAAAAAATATCTATCACAATATTGAAACACTGTTCGAAAGTGATTAACTATCAGATTACAATATATAATTTTAATTACATTAGTATCACGCACGAGTGTAGACAAACGTTTATTCTGGATGTCATATGAAGTACAAAAACATAAAAGTTCAGTACTCCAATTACTCTAATCTTACTTCTAACAGTTTTATCAGAAACTTACAAACGCCTACGTCATAATATTGCGATACATGTGACTTAATTATTTTGTTATAAAAATGTGCCATCTTTAGTTTTGAATATGTAATAAAGTTGAAATCCAGTTAAAATCAGTGTATATTTCAATATATTCTTATACATTAAAAAATTGTGGAAACAGTTTGCTTGGTTGTGAATTTTTTGGAACAAATCTTCTAAATATAATTAAATATTGATATTTTTTTCATCAGTAACTTGACTACTTTAATTAAAAAAAGTTTATAGAAAAAAATCTGGTAAAAAATGAAAAAAAATCTTTTTCAAAACTTAATTTTTGTTAGTAAACATTTATTCTACACGCAAAAGCCAACATTTTTTTCTCTTTGTATTTTTTCTTCTTTAGTGCATATGTTCTAAGATAAGCAAATTTGAAAAGAAATGATTTTTTCAACAAAAATGAAAATAACTTTTTGTTGGCACGATAAAAATGAATCCTGTCCCGTTCATTTTAAAGAGACGATAAATGCGCATCTATTCCACCTTGTTAAAAAAAACTCATTCAAAAGTAGAAGATGATTTTATGGAGGGGTAAAAAATGAAAAAATAAAAAAATAGTTCAAATTTGTCAATGTAAAAAACTCGATTTTTAAATAAAATACCAACGGAATATGAAAAGTATTGCTTTATTCTTTAAAATGATCCCCGCGAGATTTTCTACGTCTATCATAGACGGAGCTAGAAAACTTTGAATTTTACGCAGAAATTATTACAGGGTGGGATCTAACTTATGTACGTAATTGTAAGTTGATAAACTTAACAAATAGTGGTTTAATTATAGTTGAAGTATAATTTAGTACTGTGTTGAACTCACCTTTACCATAGCAATATTCTCTGTATCACTTCCTTCCGACAGATGTAGTCTAGCAGCCCAATCATCGTAGGTGTAATATCCGGATATTTTACACATTTGAAAAGTTTGTTGCAAATCGGTCATCCCAAATGCAATTCGGATATTCCCTAGTATTTTATTTTCTAGGCAATGCTTAACTGTTATAACGAGGAGGTGCGCAATAAGTACTCCTGAACATAAATGGTATCCATTGTTATCTTGAATAGATGCCATGAATGGAAATTCTAGATCATTAGCTGCTACGATTTCTTGACCGCTTAATGGCTCTACCCTCGCGGTAACTGTAAAAACCATAATATACATACATCACAAATATATACTTTTATATACACTAAAGTATCGTGGTTTAATATTGTGGAGGTGAAAAAAATAATAGTTGTAATTACATAATAATAACTGTTGAATAATGTAAAAATAAACTGTTTGGTACATATCCGAATATAATTAGTTGAATAAATCTGTATTCAATTTCTATTCTCAAGTGCTCAACAAGTAAAACAACTTTACGAAAAATTTTTCAACTCTATTTTATAGACAACTCATCGTTTCCAGCTTTTTAGCGCTCACGTTATTATCTTATAACTTATTTACTGCACATGCCTGTACTGATACAACTATGAGTATTTTTATTTAATTTGATAAATATATTTAAATTTATAAACTGCAAAGTACAACTTTTGTCAAGTTCAACTTCAACTCAAGGAACTTTCATCATTATTACTACCATGTTTTTACTTGCTTTTATGAACCTACCTTAACACATAAGCTCCAAAATAGAAAGTATTTATATGTGTTCAGTATCACGCAAGACTTTTGATTTTTACTTGCCAATATTTCATATCGTCAATATTCACCGAGCAGTATATAATTGAAAGTTCCTCTGAATCTAAATCGAAAGTGACCCAAACCTCAAAGTCACTATCTGACTTAAGCAAATTTATAATAATCATTGTAAAATTCATATATTCTCTTTTTTCTGATTTATATAAAAAAATTATGATGGCTTTTTGAGGCAAACTACGACAAACAATAGTTTACGTTCAAGCAAAAATAAAGAAGCAAAACGTTGCAGTTTTAAACTTGTTTCAAAACAATATTATCACGAAAGCAACACTTTAACGCAGTGCGGTAGCTGCAACGGCATCGATACGACACGTCGAAGCATCGAGAGGAATGATCTATTAGCGCTAGTTAGCACCTCATTGTCCCCGGCGCAAACATAATTTTTTCAATGAGTTTGGTAAAGTAAGTGATGTGGTCGGAAAGAAATGGAAATAGTTTTTCAGGTGGTACGATCGTAACTTGAAATGATCTGTTTTATAAATTAATCCCTTTTTATCAATTCTTTTTAAAAAATTACTAGTGACTCCAGATAACATCAGATAAACTTTATACATCATTATAATTTTGTAAATCAGTCTTGTACTTGGAAATAACTGTACATTTATGAGCATTTGTTTGAAACGATATAGCGAATAAGTATCGTTCAATGTATTTGTGGTAGTGTAATAATAAGTCGAGTTCAGCTGAAGTAATATCATTACAAATAAAGTGATGTATAGGTTACTGATAAAAGTTGGTGCAACATTATTTCAATATAAAAAAGTCTGGAAAATACTTTCTTAGAATATATACTTGATAATTACATTAATTTATCTGCATTACGCCAGTCTATAGTTTTAGTAGCTTCAACTTATTATACGAATTAAAATTTAAAATTTGATTAAATATTTAAAATTCAATTAAGTAAGTATAAGATTTAATAAGTAAGATATTTCATCGACTGTTTCATTATTTGAAAACCTAAAAGTTTAATATTTCAATACAGCAGAAAAATGGCGATCTGAATATTAATTTCAACGATTATATGCTCCTTCGTGTATTTATATGCAAGCATAAAGAAGAAATTAAATTTTTTTCCGGGATTCCAGAATTCCTTACTTAACACCAGTGCTATTCTATGGTAATATGAAGAGTGTAATTTTTTCTCAACAGCATGTGTCAGATTTTATTAAAAGCATTTCGAACGTGAATAACGAAGCCAAATACGTATGCGCATACAATTTTACAAATCCAGTAATTGTTTTGGCGATTTTGATCGCCAAAGAAGTTATCAGCAAACACTCTGATATTGACGCTACTCCAAATGAAATGATGCTACACAAAAATTTGTTGACCACACATTTGAGTTCTCTTAGAAGGAAATTTATGTTTGATCATGCTATGAAGAAAAAGGATATACTCATAAAATATATTGAAAAGCTGTTAAAGAATTCAGAAAACATGGTCAATGTGACAGATTTATTTTCGAGGTATAATAATGATATGTTGGCGAGTTTTATAATTGGTTTGGATGTAGATTCGTTGAATGATCCAGAGAATGATTTTTATAAATACGCCAAAAAGTATTGCCAACTCAAAGGTGTAACGAAAACTAAGCTTTTAATAAAAAGAGCTTATACGTGGTTAACCGAGAAACTCGAAATCAGTATATTGGCTAAGAATGGTTCAATATTTTTTTTTTGATATTGTTCGCCAAATTATAAAAACTAGGAATGAAAATGAGATCACTCGTAGCGATTTAATTCAACAATTATTACGCGCTCGAAATAAATCTGACGCAAATGAACACATACTGAGTTAAAGATAATCAGCTTGATATATAAATTATTTTTTGCTGGGTTCGATACAACAGCAAGCTTTATGTCTATGATAGCTTATGAACTAGCTCTAAATATTGACATTCAAGCGAAGCTACAGACAGAAATCGACCAAGTATTGCAGAAAACTACTGGTAATGTTACTTTTAATAACATTAACAATCTAATTTATTTAGACGCAGTCATCAATGAGAGTATGAGAGTCCATCCAGCGTCTTTCATTCAGAGAACGTGCAAAAGCAGTTTTGAATTGCCGCCAGCTTTACCTGGCCTCAAGCCATTTGTCGTTCAGCCTGAAATATTTATTTGGATTCCTACTTCAGTATTTCTAAATGATCCAAACACCTTTAGAAACCCAAGCGAATTCGATCCTGATCGTTTCATAAGGACTAATGTAGGAAAAACTATAAATAACATTTCTTTTGGTATGGGATCTCGAAGTTGTATTGGCAAAACTTTCGCTATCTTTAATTTGAAGATTATGTTGTTCTACGTCTTAGCTAAGTTTAGTTTTAAAACTACTGTAAAAACTCAAACGTCACTAGTTTATGATCCAAAATACTTGTCTCCAAAAGTTGAAGGAGGCACTTGGCTGTCATTTGAAAGTAGAAGAAGTGGTAAAAACAGTGAATGTTAAAAAACGGTTGTTTTCCGATTAGTTATGCTGAGTCACACATGTGTAACAATATTTATTCGCATATTGTTAGCAATAAAAACACTTAGATCAGCCGACGGCTTTATTTTTTCTATATGTATTTCATAGTTAACATTTATGAAAATATCATGGAAATTTGCGGATTATGAAAAATGTCAAACGAAGTATATGAATGATTCCATAGGGCTGGAAATTTGTTGTGATTATGATTAAACTTTTAAGTCTATTTTAATATAACTGAGTTTATGTGTTTGATTAATCGTTCGTTATCATTGAAAAATTCAGTATTTGGTCAAAATAGTTTAAAAATTAGAAAAATTTATGACACTTTTTATCTTTCTAATGAATAACAGTAACATAATGAATACATAATGACAATCCTTATTTTAGGGATTAACTTCTTCTGACCTGTGTCCACATGTGTGGACAGATATTTAATCTTTTCATTTCAAAAAATAGTACTAGTGTCCACATATGTGGACAAGCATTTATGTAAGTAAATATATCCATTGAACGATGTATTCCTTTATATTTTAAGTTTTTAGCCTAAGGGAGCATCAGATCCACGAAAAAAAATTTTTTATTTGTGCATTCATAATTCCGGTCAAACAAGGTTAATAGTTTTCATTAACGGTATATTTCCATTTCGAAGTTACACTATACTAAAGAATATAAAAAATTTCTTCTCCAATAATCTTAGAAAGATACAGTACATATTCTTTCTTTAATCTATTTCACTCTAGGCAATTTGTTTTCGTATGCGAGCAATGAATTAAATCATTATCCAATTTTCGCAACAGAAATCAGTTTCGAGTCCTTTGTATACATGTGCACTTCTATATATATATGTAAAGGAGTGATATCGCCTACGGGGATATAATGTCGCCGTCAACCATCATGGTTTCAAAAGGGGACTGCTTCGCTTGACTGAACGATTGCATAAATAATCGAAACGGACACTTGGGAGTGGCCGACCCACGTATGTTTTATATGTATAAATACGATATCGTCGCACGCGCTCGTTCGGGTGGACGTTTATAGATTTTGGCCTTTTTCTCTTCACGATGTTACAAATTAATATAGTAAATTAATATTAGCAAATCAATGTAGAGCGAAGACTTTTCGATGTGTGACTCGAGGAAACAAAAAATAAGTTCCACCGTGGAAAGTGAATAGATCGTTCATTGACTATGAGCATGCCGATATTGAATATTTGTTAACGATTGATTACAACATTTAAAATATATATTATTAAATGAGTCGTTGCTGATAATTTTATCTTTTTTTATTTGCATGAAAATCATATTGTGATGTTTGAATGAAGTTATTAAAAATCAACAAATACGTTCTACGTTTCGTACTATATAGATGAATAAACAATTAATACAAGCGTCACACTAATAACTCGGTTTTAACGTATATTTTTTCTCATATTTCCCTATATACTGCAAAGACGTGTTCGTGAACATGCACGTAATAGATTATTATAGGTCTCTCGACTCGCCCGAATGAACAATATCGTATGGTAATCATGACGTCGTCAAGCTGACACGACTATTCATTTTATTTGTATCGCTCTAAAGAGTAAGTGAACGGGTTTGGAACTATGCAATTGAGTGTCGACCGATTTAACTTCGTCGTGATTTCTATGACTATAATTTTCGGTTTCATAAGCACCCGCAGTCAGAACTTTATATCTTTGCTCTATTAACTGGAGTTAATGGGCAGAATTTTTACAGACAAATGTAGAAAAACGCATAAACTTGCAGTTAAAAATTATTATCGCGCGACTAAATTCGAAAGCTGAGTTGTTATATTGTAGGATACTACAACACGATTTGCATATTTAATATTTTGCGCGGCTTATATTTAGAATCAATTTCCACAAACCATTAGCGTAAATCGGCTATAATTAAAAACTGTCTTTCAAGGTGTTTCAAACTTGTCCCGTAACTAATTATATAAGATATTTTAAAAAACAACTTTTTTTGTATAAAACTTGAATAAATTCTTGAATTTCTTTTGGCATGGAAACTTTCGGCGTGTTAACGAAAAGTTATAAATACGAATGCAGACTACTTCGGCTATTCGTTGGAAACGATGAAAAACGTTCGCGAAACTATGATGGTATTATCAGAGTAAATTACTAGTCCAAAAGCAACAATTTTAAGCTATCGTTATAAATCTTTCCGTAAATCCGTTATTTCTTCCAAACCTAACGTTATAAATTTTTTTCCTATAAGTAGCATACGTATGGAATACGCTATCAGCACAATCATTGCCTAAGCAAGCATAGAAAATCGGCACCGAAAAAGAGATACGGTTTCTTGCAATAACAGCGGTACATATCGAAATATAATTAGTTGAATAAATCTGTATTTAATTTCTATTTTCAAGTGCTCAACAAGTAAAACAACTTTACGACAATTTTTTCAACTCTATTTTATAGACAACTTATCGTTTCCAGCTTTTTAGCGCTCACGTTTTTATCTTATGACTTATTTACTGCACATGCCTGGACTGATACGAATATGAATAGTTTTATTTATGTTGATAAATATATTGTTCAACAAATAAAGATTTGTTAAAGTAAGCGAGCCGTGACATATTAACTTCATATAATCAAATTTTTTTATTGCTATATGAGTGTTTACTAATTAATCAATTAATGATATTTCTATAACAAAACGTCGAAGGTTATGATGAGTGAGGTCAACATGATGATTCACTTCATATTTTTGTATAAAGTCGTCGGTGAAATTGCCCCAAGAAAAAGTACTTCCTGGACCACAGTATAAATTAATACCCAAAAGGTCTCCATCTTGATCTAACAATGGTCCTCCAAGATCTCCCTGTAAAAAATCAAGTTACTAATTAATCATTAAAAATAAAATCATTACTTGATATGTTTCGTTACACGATTGAAAAAAATTTATTTACGTTCTCTAATAAAACATAAGGTTCGGCAAAGGTACATATTGTTTTTGAACTAATATAAAAATTTTTATTAGTTATTCGATGCATCATCTTTGAACAGTCTTCATTCTTCAAAATCTTTACGATTCCTTTTGTCAATTGTTCAGCATTTTGACGTCGAGTCCATCCTAAAATCATCGCCATTTTTCCTTGAACTTGTTGTTTATTAAATTTGCTCAAATGAACGGGGACCGCATTCAGAGGTTGTCGTACTAACTGGAACATACGTGAAGCAGCAAGCAAAATATACAGTTGTATGGATACGTTAGTTCCCAACTTGTACTAAAATACCCAAAATTCTCAATTTTCTAGCTCCGTCTATAATGGACATAGAAAAACTTGCAGTAGTTCATTTTAAAGAAAAAAGTAATACTTCTCAAATTCCTTTTGTTTTTTTAATTTAAAATCGCGTTTTTTACAATAACAAAAACTGAACCATTTTTTTACCTTTCAGTTTTTACCCCTCGATAAAATCACCTTCTAATTTTTGAACAAGTAAATCAATTTTTTTTTCAATTAGAAAGAATAAATGCGCATGTATCTCCTCTTTCAAATAAGTGAGGTAGGATCCAATTTTTATCGAGCTAATGAAACATTACGTTCATTTTTGTGAAAAATATTACTTTTCTTAGGTTTGATTATCTTCGAACATATGCACTGTGAAAAAAAAATCTAAAAAGAAAAAATGTTGACTTTTTCATGTAGAATAAGTATTTACTAACAAAAATTGAGTTCTGCAAAAAAATTTTTTTTAACTTTTTTACTAGAATTTTTCTATAAATTTTTTTTAATAAAAATAGTCAAGTTACTGATGAAAAAAACATCACTATTTAATTATATTTAGGATATTTGCTTCAAAACATAAATAACCAAGCAAATTTCTATCACAATTTTTTAACGTATAAGAATATATATTAAAATATAACATAATTTTAACTGGATTTAAACTTTATTATATATTCAAAACTACAGATTGTACATTTTCATAACAAAATAATTCCATAATTTTAAAAATATATTTTATCACAAATAAAAAAAATATCTATCACAATATTGAAACACTGTTCGAAAGTGATTAACTATCAGATTACAATATATAATTTTAATTACATTAGTATCACGCACGAGTGTAGACAAACGTTTATTCTGGATGTCATATGAAGTACAAAAACATAAAAGTTCAGTACTCCAATTACTCTAATCTTACTTCTAACAGTTTTATCAGAAACTTACAAACGCCTACGTCATAATATTGCGATACATGTGACTTAATTATTTTGTTATAAAAATGTGCCATCTTTAGTTTTGAATATGTAATAAAGTTGAAATCCAGTTAAAATCAGTGTATATTTCAATATATTCTTATACATTAAAAAATTGTGGAAACAGTTTGCTTGGTTGTGAATTTTTTGGAACAAATCTTCTAAATATAATTAAATATTGATATTTTTTTCATCAGTAACTTGACTACTTTAATTAAAAAAAGTTTATAGAAAAAAATCTGGTAAAAAATGAAAAAAAATCTTTTTCAAAACTTAATTTTTGTTAGTAAACATTTATTCTACACGCAAAAGCCAACATTTTTTTCTCTTTGTATTTTTTCTTCTTTAGTGCATATGTTCTAAGATAAGCAAATTTGAAAAGAAATGATTTTTTCAACAAAAATGAAAATAACTTTTTGTTGGCACGATAAAAATGAATCCTGTCCCGTTCATTTTAAAGAGACGATAAATGCGCATCTATTCCACCTTGTTAAAAAAAACTCATTCAAAAGTAGAAGATGATTTTATGGAGGGGTAAAAAATGAAAAAATAAAAAAATAGTTCAAATTTGTCAATGTAAAAAACTCGATTTTTAAATAAAATACCAACGGAATATGAAAAGTATTGCTTTATTCTTTAAAATGATCCCCGCGAGATTTTCTACGTCTATCATAGACGGAGCTAGAAAACTTTGAATTTTACGCAGAAATTATTACAGGGTGGGATCTAACTTATGTACGTAATTGTAAGTTGATAAACTTAACAAATAGTGGTTTAATTATAGTTGAAGTATAATTTAGTACTGTGTTGAACTCACCTTTACCATAGCAATATTCTCTGTATCACTTCCTTCCGACAGATGTAGTCTAGCAGCCCAATCATCGTAGGTGTAATATCCGGATATTTTACACCTTTGAAAAGTTTGTTGCAAATCGGTCATACCAAATGCAATTCGAATATGCCTTAGTATTTCACTTTCTAGGCAATGCTTAACTGTTATGACGAAATGGTTCGTGATAAGTACTCCTGAACATAAATGGTATCCATTGTTATCTTGAATAGATGCCATGAATGGAAATTCTAGATCATTAGCTTCTACGATTTTTTGACCGCTTAATGGCTCTACCTTCGCGGTAACTGTAAAACCATAATATATATATATATATATATATATATATATATATATATATATACATAACAAGTATATATTTTCATATACACTAAAGTTTCGTCGTTCAATATTACGTAGATGAAAAAAATAATAGTTGTAATTACATAATAATAACTGTTGAATAATGTAAAAATAAATTGTTTGGTACATATCGAAATATAATTAGTTGAATAAATCTGTATTCAATTTCTATTCTCAAGTGCTCAACAAGTAAAACAACTTTACGAAAAATTTTTCAACTCTATTTTATAGACAACTCATCGTTTCCAGCTTTTTAGCGCTCACGTTATTATCTTATAACTTATTTACTGCACATGCCTGTACTGATACAACTATGAGTATTTTTATTTAATTTGATAAATATATTTAAATTTATAAACTGCAAAGTACAACTTTTGTCAAGTTCAACTTCAACTCAAGGAACTTTCATCATTATTACTACCATGTTTTTACTTGCTTTTATGAACCTACCTTAACACATAAGCTCCAAAATAGAAAGTATTTATATGTGTTCAGTATCACGCAAGACTTTTGATTTTTACTTGCCAATATTTCATATCGTCAATATTCACCGAGCAGTATATAATTGAAAGTTCCTCTGAATCTAAATCGAAAGTGACCCAAACCTCAAAGTCACTATCTGACTTAAGCAAATTTATAATAATCATTGTAAAATTCATATATTCTCTTTTTTCTGATTTATATAAAAAAATTATGATGGCTTTTTGAGGCAAACTACGACAAACAATAGTTTACGTTCAAGCAAAAATAAAGAAGCAAAACGTTGCAGTTTTAAACTTGTTTCAAAACAATATTATCACGAAAGCAACACTTTAACGCAGTGCGGTAGCTGCAACGGCATCGATACGACACGTCGAAGCATTGAGAGGAATGATCTATTAGCGCTAGTTAGCACCTCACTGTCCTCTGCGCAAACACGATTTTTTCAATGAGTTTGGTAAAGTAAGTGATGCGGTCGGAAAGAAATGGAAATAGTTTTTCAGGTGGTATGATCGTAACTTGAAATGATCTGTTTTATAAATTAACCCCTTTTTATCAATTCTTTTTAAAAAATTACTAGTGACTCCAGGTAACATCAGATAAACTTTATACATCATTATATTTTTGTAAATCAGTCTTGTACTTGGAAATAACTGTACATTTATGATATATATATATACGTAGGCGCATACAATTTTACAAATCCAGTAATTGTTTTGGCGATTTTGATCGCCAAAGAAGTTATCAGCAAACACTCTGATATTGACGCTACTCCAAATGAAATTATGCTACACAAAAATTTGTTGACCTCACATTTGAGTTCTCTTAATACGTTCTCTAAATACGTTCTACCTTTCGTACTATATAGATGAATAAACAATTAATACAAGCGTCACACTAATAACTCGGTTTTAACGTATATTTTTTCTCATATTTCCCTATATACTGCAAAGACGTGTTCGTGAACATGCACGTAATAGATTGTTATAGGTCTCTCGACTCGCCCGAATGAACAATATCGTATGGTAATCATGACGTCGTCAAGCTGACACGACTATTCATTTTATTTGTATCGCTCTAAAGAGTAAGTGAACGGGGTTGGAACTATGCAATTGAATGTCGACCGATTGAACTTCGTCGTGATTTCTATGACGATAATTTTCGGTTTCATAAGCACCCGCAGTCAGAACTTTATATCTTTGCTCTATTAACTGGAGTTAATGGGCAGAATTTTTACAGACAAATGTAGAAAAACGCATAAACTTGCCGTTAAATATTATTATCGCGCGACTAAATTCGAAAGCTGAGTTGTTATATTGCAGGATACTACAACACGATTTGCATATTTAATATTTTGCGCAGCTTATATTTAGAATCAATTTCCACAAACCATTAGCGTAAGTCGGCTATAATTAAAAACTGTCTTTCAAGGTGTTTCAAACTTGTCCCGTAACTAATTATATAAGATATTTTAAAAAACAACTTTTTTTGTATAAAACTTGAATAAATTCTTGAATTTCTTTTGGCATGGAAACTTTCGGCGTGTTAACGAAAAGTTATAAATACGAATGCAGACTACTTCGGCTATTCGTTGGAAACGATGAAAAACGTTCGCGAAACTATGACGGTATTATCAGAGTAAATTACTAGTCCAAAAGCAACAATTTTAAGCTATCGTTGCAAATCGTTTCGTAATATCCGTTATTTCTTCCAATCCTAACGTTATAAATTTTTTTTCCTATAAGTAGCATACGTATGGAATACGCTATCAGCACAGTACCGAAAAAGAGATACGGCTTATCGCAATAACAGCCGTACTTTCTACTGTCAGTCGAAAGTCGTTTGAAAAGTCCGCAAAAGAGAAAGGCTGCACGCGGAAACTAGTTTAGCTATTGCTAGTCTATTTTGCAATACTATAGCCAATTTCTTATCTGTTGTCATTTGGTTTTATTTTCTAACGCATAAAACATTGAATGCTGCGTGTTTTCGTGTTAAGAGAAAAAGTGTAATTTTTTAAATTTCTCGTAGTCATTTATATTGAAAAGTATAATTCGATGAAGTCATAGATAAAAAGTGATTTTGCAAAATATTCGACGACGAAATATGATAATTTCTAAAAATATACTTTCCGTAAAAAATAAATTTATCACGGAATCTAACTTATGAAAAAATGTTTTTCAAAGAAACGATAAACTATAAACAATGATTATACGATGGAGATTTTTTAATCTCGTCAACGTCGCCGGCCGCCACACATAGCGTATATTTTCTTATAAAAATCAGCAGTCGCAGGCAAGAACGAGCGCGGAATTGATGTCTCGCCGCAGAGAGGCGGCGCCGCGACCGTTATTAAGACACCGATGGAAAGAAGAAGAAAGGGTCGCCCCCTTTCTTGCTGAGCGCCCGCGCTACGAAAATCAAAGTCATCGATGGGGTTTCGCGGAATTCGATACTATATATGCGCGGACCACAGGATTATATTGTGCGGCATTCGCTAAGACAATCCTTCTTTTTTTGACTGTTCGATTTTTCGTCGGTGGCCTGATTTTTGCGCATTCATCGGATGCATCGCTAAAAAACCTTCGATTTCGGCGACGCGAATTCGATAGTATTTTTCAATCATTGATTTATGTAATATTGCAGGTTAAGGCTCTTCTTTTGAATGAACTGAAAAGAAATTTACTTTTCAAAGCTGCTCATTTATGCTCGATTACGAAAGTTGAATAGGAAAACCAACAAAGCTCGTTCACCAGAAAGGCACATCGCATTTTTCCAAAAAAACTTTTCTTCCGTCACACAATGGAAAACCTCATTATAGATTCTCTCGTGCAAGTACGTGGCTCTCAGGTATTCATTTTGGAAGATCTCAGTCCAGCCAAAAGAGCAAGAAAAATCGCGCGCATTCTATTGTTTCGCATACACAAAAGAAGGCTAAAGTCACAGTGATGCTGAATTGCCCGCGGGATTAAATTTTTGGAGCCGCAAAAAAATATACAAGAGAACACTGTAGAGGCTTCTACAACCACCACCTACGCCCGGAAGGCTCAGACGTAGGGATATATGCTGTGCTGGTGTGCCTACGTCATTAGGCGAGTTCTAAAGCTTCTTTGTCATTATGCGCCCGCACACTGCTATTATTCTGTTAGCCGAACAACGCTGTTTGGAAATTGATGATCGACTCGATAATCACACGACGTTCGTCTCTTTTTTTACGCACTTGATAATAATCAGTCTATACGATCGCGCATTACGTACGAAACTTCGTCGAACGTGGGCCAACGCAAAACTCGTCTGCACTGGTAAATTGAAAGAAGTCGCGCGTCCGTGCGTGACCAGAAGAAAAACGCAAGCATCCCCGTGGTGAAGGAGCGTATTCCGTGTTTCACAAACTCTAAGCCTCGACTTCGTGTATGCGCGTATATGTGTGTGCGTATGTGTGTGTGTAAGTGTGTGTGAATGTATATACCTTGCTCCTATATTAAATTCTCGTATATTACTGCACGTGTTGTCAGAAACTACTTTTTCATTGGACAACTTTGAGAATTACGAGCATCTGCGCTGTGGCAAATGATCGTATTCGAGTTGCTGCTGTGCCGCTGCCAAAAATGTTTAAATTTCAAGCAATTGTTACCAAGTTACAACTTGAATTAAAAAACAAGAAAAGTTGTGTGAGATTCTCACGAAAGTCATCAATGAATAAAAGCGAAGAAAAAGTTTAGACTGACGCGAAGTCATTAAATTGTATGGTGCATCAAGAGATAAGCGCATATATAAGCGTTTCAACGAGCCAAAATGCAGCCCATCCGTGAAGAGAGCGTCCGAGGGAAAAGAAAGGAGAGCGCAACGCGACCTACCGGTTTCTCCTTTCCAAATTTATGTTCCAAGAGACGCTTGTATATATACATGAAAATGAGTCCCCGCGCGGTTGCGGCCCACATGTGGGCGGACCGCGTCCCCCGAAGGGCAATCTCTCTCAAAAAATATTATGTTCACGTGGTACATGTGTACGTTTTGTCTTGACTCGATATTTAACGCCTGTTTCTAACCTACTCAGAGAGGATGAAGCTCTCGAAGCTCAATATTTTCTCGTTCCAGAGTGACGAGATAAGAGAAAAGCCGCCTACTTTTTTCACGCACATCGGACCGCATTTGGCTCATCTGACGATGTGATTTCTTGGGGTTTTTTAATTAAGTACAAGATACCTACAGTCTATACCAAGAAAAGCAGCCTCATTTTTATTTTATATATATATAACTTCATAGATGGATTGCATTTTTTAATTCAAATTATGAAAAATATATATATATAAAAGAAGAACCATGACTCGTCGCTGTATAATGTCCTATTAGCTGGTAATTAAAATACGCAGGCACATCGGCCTTTCTATCTATAAAATATAGTTCGGTGGATGGAGTGTTCTGCTAGATACGAGGAGGACACACATCGATAAATGTCCTCTCGTCGTTGCGATCTGGTGAAACGTGAATCGAATAAATACATGCACACACACATCAGGCTAATGAACGAGAAAACGCGCGCGCGCGCGGATTGATTTCTCGGAACAGTTGATCTCTGCGCACGCAATCAAACGTCATTTGCATGTGATTGCTTTGTTATCTCTGTATACACGGCCAAGTGCCACGCCTTACATTTGAATTGCGAAAGGGAGTTGACTTGTCTACTAGGCTGCATTTTTCT